AGCCATGCAAAAACAGGATTAATAGTTTTCGTAACATTACAATCCATATTCTTAAGAGTAAKAAGATTTAAAAAAAGATACATACTTATTACTGGACTGATAGACCTTATAAGTCTCTAATCAACAACTCTAATTAGACTAACAGCTGCTTGAACATGTTATTGTGAGGCCGAACTATAGGCCGAGTTCAAAAGACCGGGTGCTAATTGTCTAAGTATCCACCAAACTATAGGGCAATGAAAAAAAGAAAGGGACGACAATTTTTCTCGACAATTTTTCTCGACATTTGTGCTTCATTCGATGCGACCATGGTATAACATGAATGTACCATAGCTCAGTAGCCAAATCAGAATCCTGGATTTGTATTGATAGCCCATAGTTTTGTGGATACTAATAATAATAACATTACTGCCTAGAGTGATAGAGTGGTTTTCATTAACCCTTGAAACACACTTTAGCGCATTTATCGCTATTGCACTTTGGCTCTTTTGTTTTTTATTGTCTCTACGCGACTATTACGATCTATTACACTCTAATTATTACACTTTGTTTCACGGGTTTATGAAAACCACTCTAATGAGATAARATTAAAACAAAACGTTTACAATGAATTATATTATAGCGCAATTCTAACACGCGCGGAATTGATAAGAAAAGCTCTGGTTTATTTCGCCGGCAAACCAGCCTGCTGTCTTGAAAGACTTTTGAGTCGAAATGGAGGACGACGGCCCAAATTTTCTGCTATAATATAAAAGCAATAAACGATAGCTTGAAGCTGTTAACTGGCGAAATAAACGGCTTGGGATGGTTGGGAAAACACTCAAAAATTGGTTGAATAAAATTGTGCAATTTGATTGGCTTAGAGGAGTGATATCGTTAATAGTGGTATTTCAAATTGCACAATTTTATTCAACCATTTAATAAATTGTTTGACAATTTTAAAATATCACGCGTGGTATTTATCCCAAATACTTCTACCATATGGAACTTATTGCCATACATCGGGTGACATTTGCTTGGATTATTGTCCAGGCTCACTCATGCATCCATGCATGCATGTATAT